ATCGCAACAAGATCTCAACGACGTCGTGGCACCTCTACGAACCACGGTCGACGAGTTCAAAGCAAGCTTGGAAGTATTGGGATCACAATTCTCTCAACCACCATCGGATCGGTCTATGTCTGCTCCTGCACCGCCCCCGGGCTGGAAACAAAGGTTCAAAATCTTGAGCACCAAATTGAAGAACTAACGATTACCCGCACAGCGTCACCGACGAGTACACAATGTGGCAACAAAATGATCGGCGATGAGAAGCGCAACGTTATCGCTGGAACTAGTGAACTGTGGGTTCGCCTCCAACATCGCAAACATAGCATGGGTGAAAGATCAATTACGCCAATACGAATCACAACCCGTCCGGGAAATGCCTTACAAAAGGGGCGTGCTTATGAACATGCTGTTCGCCGAATTCAAAGACGTGGACGACCGCGATCTGACTACTGCGGTTCTCCGCAGTTCTGGCGTAGCGCGGGCACGAAGATTTGGATCACTCAGGATCGACACCCAGCCGTACTTGCGGTACAACATTTGTGCAAGACGGCATGCACCTCGATTACACAATCAACATCGTTTTGAATTATCTTCCATACTATGTGTACGTTAGCGGGGACATTGCAATTACCGTCAACGTAACCAACACCAATCTTGATCTTGCATGGTCGGATTCTTGGGGCTCATGGGGAGAGCTGCAACGCCTTACCAAACGGAAAGACCTGATTCGCAACAACGAAGACCTCTTGGGACGCACCGCTGCCAACATGAAGTGTACAGGCAAAGGACACTCGAAGGGAAAAGGTGGGAGGTAGGGAATACGGCTGGGCATCGGAGTCGGCCCATCTACAAGCACAATTTTGGACGCTACCACGGGCACGATTTTGGGCAAAGATACCGTCGATCACAACGTAGTTAACTGTTGTAACATTACAGCCTGGTACACTTGGGACTGCACCTGTTCATATTGATTCGCTTTCCTCCCCAGTCCTTCCCCAACATCATGCCTCCGGCCACGATCGTGGACAAAAATTCTGGAGGTCACGTTCCCCAGTCTCACCATCCTACCACCTGGGGCAGATCACGGTCAACCTGCAAACCTTCTCGCTTGGGCGGAACGGCACTGGGAACGTTAAAGGCTTACGTGGTGATACCCCCATACAGCACCACACGGAAGAGTCACCTTATTTTTCGTCTGGGTCCTCAGGTGTCTTGGGCACAACTACCAATGTACCCCCTAACTCTGCAAGTACTCCTCTGAGTCCCAGCGGAAACATCGCTGTACATACACCTTGCTTTTCCCCCGCTGGTCCCTCCCTACAAGGGGTGCCGCATGTCCTGAACCTGGACAAAGGTACCATACTGGACACAGCAACGATCGATGTTGGAGTCTCTTCACATGTCTTGGGCGGTTCTCCTATTTCGCTCTGTCCTCCACTGGCGCCTGCACCTTCATCTACACCTCGGGCTAGCATCGACGCGCACTGGTATCAATCAAGCGATTTGGTCCCAGCCTCGCCGCGTCTGCAGCCCTCTCCGCTCTGAGCGTAATTATTGAATCCTGGAATGTCAAAAGGCTTCGGGGCGATTCCCAGATCAAACTCACCGAACTAGCGAAGATGATGCAGAGGACGAGCATGGGGATCTTATGTACGCAAGAGACACAACTGCACGGCGCACACCATGAAGCGGAATATGCGCCGTTCTGATGCAGGCGTATGGTTCTCATTGCTCCATGGGTGCGCCGAGCTGTGGTAACTTTCTGTGCAATATGTCCGCGATTGGCAACCTTACGAGTACGTGTCCAGCACGGCGTCTTGGCCATCATCACCGCCTTTGCTCCGCATAGTGGACATCCTTACGACCAACTGCAGGCTTTCTTCTAAGAGCTAGGCGCAGCAACAAGACATACAACACCACACAGTACGACCTTGATTTTTGGCGACTTCAACACGAAGCTATTTCAGCAAGGCCCAGAAGACGAGACTGCAACACGAAGCATTATCGGTATTGGCGACCTTGGTATTTGGTGACTGCAACACGAAGCATTATCGGAACCCATGTGTTTCAAAGTAGTCCCCGCTGGAGTGCACAGCTACAGATTTCGAACATGCAGTTGTTGATGGATCACTGTATCGCAAGGACTTGGTAATTGCCAACACGCACTTCCAAATACCAGTTGAGCAGCGAGTTACCTACAAGGATCTGGGGGTCCGACCTCTGGAGACTGTCACGAAGCACAGCTTCAGCCAGATTAACCACGTGCTTTGCCACAACCCAGTGTTACTATGGATTCTGGATTGCCATCACTTCCTGACGCAAGTAGTGGTGCGCTCCCATTTTGAAAAGACAGCCATGATACCACAGAATCGTGTTGATATATCGTCGGTGTGGGACCCATGTATGGAGAAGGGATTCACGCAGAGTTTCTGCAGCGCCTTTGAAGCATCCCGAATGACAGATGGGACGATCGACGACTTAGCCTTTGCAGCAGAATCAAGTGCGTTACCAACAAGGTCATCTCAAGCCAAAACGCGGCGGATATCTCATGCGAGAATGGCCTTGATAGAACAACGTAACGCATGCCGGCGAAACAGGGATCACCCTCTTGAACGTGTCCTGGACAAGCAGATCCGGAAGTCAGCTCAGAAAGATCGCACGACTTGGATCAACGAGAAATTGATAGGTGGAAGCTGGGAAGCTGTGAAACATATTCTGAGGAAGCAGCAAACAAAACACGCTGGAATACGCGACCTGAACGACAATCTCACGGACACCGCTGGCCGGCCAGACGCCCTGAGATGTTCTTCTGAGAAGGTTTAGTGGGCCGTCAAGTTCGCAGATGTTTCCCCTGCTGCTTCTGATGCCCTTGGTGGCGAACTGCCAGTGGCCATATCGGATACTACATTGGATGAGCTACAGTTCCTTTTGAAGAAGATGAAGCGCGGGGAAACTGAAGGTCCTGATGACGTTACTCCAGATTCTTGGAAAAAAACGATCTCAAGATAATGATGCATGCACGATTACTCTAGAAAATTGTCAAGCATGCGTTGAAGAAAGGATACGTCACGTTGCCCAGCAACTATCGCCCAATCTCCCTCCTGACAGTTGGGTACAAAGCGCTTGCTACAATGATCCATCGAAGGCTATTGCGAGGAGGGGCCGAAGACCGGACGCGCAACTCACAATTCGGATTCCGACCTCGGCGATGCACGGCAGACGCCCTCACGGTGATCAGGCGGACGGTGGACACAGCGACAATCAACGAGGGCGACGGCATACTAATGGTGATTCTGGATTCGGGGAAAACTTTCGATAGACTGAAACCGCAATGTTTGTCTGAAGCCTTGGCTCGCTTTGGGATCCCGCTCCTGATGGCCCGGATGATCGAAGGAACCTATTGATCATTGTGGATGCTCCACGGAACGACGACAAACTGCTGGTACAAAGCAGGGATGCCCGCTATCCCCATATCTGTTCATTGCTGTTCAAACGGTCATGTTGCATGATGTTTATCGCGAGCTACACCTACAACCCGAACCAACCTATGTGGTGACACGAAGCACACGGATAACATCAAAGCGCTGTTGAACGATATTGTTCTTGAGGGGCAGAAGTACCGCATGGAGTTGAACTGGGACAAGACACTACAAATGCAAATATTTACCAGCAACCTCGGTAATGAGACCAACCGGAGAACCCATCAAAATCGTAAGTCAAACTATTTATTACTAACAAAAGCCACGTGGGACACGAGCTTAACCGACAACTGGGTGAGTGCAGTGCTGCATTTCGAGAGCTGTGCAAACTTTGCAACCAGTTCTTCACTTGGCAGACAGCGACGACAACACAGATACACAAGCTGCGTTATTAGCAAATTGCTATACTCATTGGATGCTTTACGGCTGCTAGCAAGCATGACAAGCAGTTGCTGGACGCTTGTCACAGCAAGTGCTTGCGCAAAGTATTGGGCATCCCGCATTCTTATTATTCGAGGGTGTCGAACGCTACTGTCATTGAGCGCGCTGGTTCCAAGCCCCTCTCTGACATGTTGCGCGAACGCCAGGTGCAGATGTTCCAGAAAATCGCATCCCAGGACAACAACACGCTGGCCAAATACCTTGCGTGCGACGAAGGCGGCACCCCGAAAAACCCAACTCGTGCACAAGCATCAACAATAATCATGACATTTCTGACGCTCTCGTGGCAATCGCCTACCCGGGCGCGTTTTGCGCTGCGTGGCCGGCATTTTGATTGTGCATTTCCTTGTTCCGTCCCCTTCCTCGCCTTCGCCTCCCTCCTTTTCCGTCCTCATCGCCTCCCTCCCCATTGCGTTGCGTCGCATGCATTCGAATGCTGCTCCCTTTGCGATGGCCCAGAGTGGTTGTCGTGCCGACGCGCCCCTGCTGGACGCATGGCTTGAGTGAGTGGCTGAGTTCGATCCCGCTTGTTTGTTCGAACTCCCTTACCGCGACTATAATTCAAAGGAGGCTGGCGTACTTCGGCTTGGGTTGGGTTGGCCTCGCGTCGCAGGGCCTCTCACACACCCAGACATGGTTGGCGAATGCTGCCAGCAGCGCGTATAGAAAAGCCACCGAAAACCAAACAAACCAAGAGCGTGCCTACCCCTCCCTCCTCCTCGCTCTCGACCTCCCCAGAAAATGATGACAACTACGACGACGACGACGCAAACGACGACGACACAGGCGGTGGCGGCGGCGACGGCGACGGCGACGACGACCACGGCGACGACGGCCACGCGGGCGAGGACGACGAAGACGACGACGATGGCGAAGACGGTGACGACGATGGCGAAGACGACGACGACGACGACGACGACGACGACGGCGACGGCCGCGACCACGGCGACGACGACGACGACGGCGACGGCCGCGACCACGGCGACGAACAACGCCGACCACGTCGACGACAACGCCCCCGACTGCACGACAACGGACCGTGACGACGGCGGACCATAGAGGCGACGGCGACTGGCCGCTGTGGGCGCCGGCCTCTTCGCTTGCGGCGGGTCCGGTCCGATGGCGCCGCCTGCGCAGGCGATGCCCTCGGCGTCCGCGAGCCTCGGGGCTCGGGCGGTCGGGCTGCCGACGCCGCCAGCGCGAGGGCGCGCGGGCAGGAGGACGGGGATCCCGCGGCGCCTGGCACCGGTCGGGCGGTCGGTGGCGCAGGAGCAGTACGTGCAGGGGGATCGAGGAGTGCAGGAAACGAGCCCCACAAGGGGCCCGTCGGGGCCTTCAGCGGGACCCCGTTTTCTCCCAATGCCTTCGCCTCCGGACCTCGGGCGGATCGTGGCGCCAGCACGCGTGGCTCGCCGCTCAGGTCGTCCCTCCTCTCCTAAACGATGATGCCAATGGCGATGACTAGGAGGGTGAGGCTTCCTTTTGCGCCACGGGGCGCCTGATCAACTCGGGCGCGAGCTCGTCCGCCCGGCGCGAAGCTCTCAGCCCCCGTACCTGGGCGATGGCCCCCCTCGGGAGGCAGGGGGCGCGCCGACCGCAACGCGGCAAGCGCGCGAAGCTAGCCACCGAGCCCATTTTGCGGGGCCCGCGTGACAGCCGCCAGCGCCCCACCACCGTAAATTTGGCGCGGGCGGGTGGGACCCCCCCCCCCAAAAAAAAGGCTCCACGCGGATCTTAAAACGAAAAGGACAACGGAAGTGGGCAGGCAAGGGGAGGAGGCCACAAACGCAGATAAACGTCCCATGTTTTCACGAACGCCCAAGTTTTCTAATTTTACCGTCGCCTCCTGACCTCGGACGGATCGCGGCGCAAGTGCGCGCAGGGTGCTCGCCACTCAGGACGCGAGGAAGATGGGGCTTCTTTTTGCGCCACGGGGCGCCCGATCCACTCGTTCACGAGCTCGTCCGCCCGGCGGCGACGCCTCCTGCATTCCCTCCCTACGCCTCTGCTAATGTGTCGTTGTGAAGTGATCGTGTCGTCTTTCTCCCCCTGCTTGGGAGCCCTGCTCGCCCAGCGCGTTCCGCAAGGAGTGGGCACGCGAGAGGGCCAGCAGTTGCCCCCCCCCCGCACTGACCCGCAGGGACTCGCACTCGCAAGGTAGCAAGCCTTATTTTCGGGGCCTCCTCGGAGCTCGTTCCTTAGAGCATCGGGGTGCGCCCCCTGCCGGCCCCATGAGAAGTCTGGGTCTGCGGCAAATTTCACTCGCAGGGGATGTTGCAAATCGTACCCCACGGTTCCGTAGCGGGAATTTCGACATTGACCCCCCTCATGCGGATGTCATGTCCTGTCCTCTTCTCCGCCTCCTCCTCATCCTCTTCCTCTCCCTCCTCGTCGTCGTCCTCCTCCTCCTCTGCCCCCCCCCTCCTCCTCCTCATCCACATCCTCCTCCGCCGCCTCCTCGTCCTCCGCCTCCTCCTCCTCCCTCCTCGTCCTCGTCCTCGTCCTCGTCCTCGTCCTCGTCCTTCTCCTCCTCCTCCTCCTCCTCCTCCTCCTCCTCCTCCTCCTCCTCCTCCTCGTCCAGAGCACCAGTATCCTCGTCCACCTCTGCGCCCGCGCGGGGGGGCTGGGACCTCCCGAGGGGGGGACCTGCGGGGCCCCCCTCGTCGCCGCGGCCAGGCGCGCGCCGGAGAACGGGGGGCCAGGCTGCTCGCGGAGCGCGGGAGCGCGGGGGCGCGATCGATGCCGCGCCCGTGCGGGTGGGCCAGGCGCGCTTCGGGGAAGGGTCGCCAACACACCCGAGAGACCCTGGGCACGGGTAACCTCTGGTGCGCGGCTTTCGGGGGCCTTGGCGGGGCCAGATTCAAGTGCGCAGGCCAGTGCTGGGGCCACCCCTGTGGGCCCCTACCAAAAGTCAATATTCCGAAAAGGTCACTCCAACGCATGGCTACAACAGACCAGGATGGTCCAGGAAAGGACTGGCACTGAGCGAGTTCTGACAAGGGGCTGGGAGTGAGGGGGAACGAGAGGTGGGACTCGCTCAGGGGGGAACATCGACCTGGAATCGGCGGCACTTCGCCGATAAATCCGCGGTAGGTCCCCGATGGCGAACCCGAACGTTCCTGGGAGTGGCGGGTTATCGGGCCCCCTATCGGCGATGTGTGGGCGGTCGGGGGTCGATGCATCCACCCTTGGGCCTTTCCACCCCCCGACGCTGCCCCCGATCCCCCCCAGGAGGCCCCGAGGACGGACGGAGGGAGGACTATCACCAACAGCACATCAAGGGTTGGCAGCGGAGGGGCCAGGGGCGCGGTGGTGCATGCCTCCCCGAAAGCCTCCGCGAAGAGCCCATCGCGTACGCATCTCGCAGATGAGCATCCCTCGAGCGATGGTGGTGGTTTTCCTCCCGCCCCCTCCCTGATGAGAACCAATGAGGACATACAAAATTCGCCGGCCCAACGGGCCAGGGCGTGCTAAGATCTCCGGTAACTGGTTAACAGTATTAACAGTATTTCTAGTTCGCGCGCGCGGGGCGGCCCCTGGGGGTCCCCCGGCGAAAAGTACCCCGACCAACGCCCGACCGCCGCCCGACCGC